ATGTCTCTTTATTTTATCTTAAGACTCGATTCTTGGGACATTGGATGCTGTACCCGAGAGGCCAGATTGGAAACAGAAAAGCTACCTTTAAACTCTAATAACTCGTAAACTATCAGCTTTCACAAAAAACTTTATATAACTGGTCGATATCTTTACGAAAGTGCTGCATTTAACCCTTTAATGCAGAGTCTGTTATATATGAAACGCTTTTTAACCCTTTCAAGGCAGTGGCAAAGAGAGAGGGAGAAAAAAACTCGTGTTTTGCCTATAGTGCGTCGCCTGTGAGCATTCTTTCATATATGTATGTATGTGCCATTTCTACCGTTATATATTTTTTGTCTACTCGGTCATTCCCTGGGGAATTCATGCTTTATTTAAATTTAAAAAATTAAATTACTACACCATTTTAATTAGTTAGTGTGTAGTCCAGTTTTGTTTTGTAAAAGTTTCGTTAGTATACACTTCAGTTTTTACACATTCAATATATCTGCATATTTATATATTTACGCGTATCTATTTACATTTATTTATGTACAAGTCTGCCAAATCTTATTACTTATAAAGCGATTTTTAATCTTCGTTGCTTAACACACATTTTTTCAATTACTTCTTGTGTTATAATCGGCACATCATTATGTACCTCTAACATCGTTAAACCATTCAGCCGCTCCTTAATTGTATAAAAAGAAGGGACAAATAAGATAGCATATTCAACAATTGAGTAGTCCACTTGCAAAGTGCGCTATGTAAATTTTTTTCGATTTTTAGTTTTTGGTGGGTTTCATGTCCACTAACAGCAGGGTGAAAAATTGTTCTATATTCTGAAAAAAAATATCATGAAATGTTAACTACTCTTGCAAAAGTCGATATAATAATTTATACACTTTCAAATGTCTCCTCTTCGTATGAACTTAGAAAACTGCAAGAAAACGTGGTAGTTTCGGTGCCTAGTGGAAGAGGTCACAAAAAAGAAGCAAACCAATCTTCCTAGAGGAGAGAACGCGAAAAGCTAGCTATGTAAAAGTTACGGTTTCAAAACTTGTAATATTTAATTTTTAAATATAAAATTTGAAAATCTACCACACTGCAATTTTATTTTTTTAATGGTATTAGGCTCTTATTTATCCAAATTTTTAGGTAATAAAAAAAGGTACAGTTCGGAAGTTACTTGTTGCCGTAGACGTTTTTTTTTTAATTAATTTATAAAATGAAATATACTTGTTAATTTTTTTGATATATTTTTTATTTAATGAATTTTACACTAATAAAGCAAACTTTTCGATTATATTCCCCTGAATCATCTCGCGATTTTCGGTAACGAGTTTTCTATGGACGCTCATGAGGCATATCCCTGAAAGCTTTTCTTCTCCTGTTGTGCTTCTGAGCCAGGTTTTTACTCTACAAAGTGTACTAAACGATCGCTACACAGTCGCAGTTGTGCATGGAAAAGCACTCAAAATAGAAATACAATTATTTATCGCTGGTAGAAATTCATTTGCTTCTTTGAATAGGTCTACAACTTCAACATCCTTCAAATATTCTTCGGACAAATTCTTTTTTTCCATAAATTGTACCAAAGAATGAGTTCACTGCCAATTTCTATATCATAGAACTGTTGAAAATGCTTTGCGTTCTTTTGTACCTCTTCACTGGAACATTTAATCAAATACAAGGGGTGCAATCTAGACAGCGAAAAAGCTGGATTGTTTTCATTGGAAAAGCGTAGTTGTAAAAAGGCCGTTAGTGAATCCAGATGCGGTATTATTATAGATCGTCGCCAGTACTCATTTTCATTGGCCGATGGGGGGTTACTTCTGTTTTTTTGTTAACCTGCCAAACGTGGCAGAGAAATTTCTACTCCTAGATCGGCTGTAATAAGACGAGATTTATTAATCAACTCTGTAGTCACTCCTTCTGCATTCCTGCGATCGTTCTTAACTACCTCCAAAATATTTTCAATATGCTGACCCACGGCAATGAGGTCTATTGTCTTCATTTGCAAAATGTTTGCTGTAAGTTCCAACAACGTTGAATATTTGGCAATTGTCATTAAAGCGATGATGAATATCGGCCTTGTTATTGCAGCACACAATTGATACGCAGACTTTCTTGTGGAAAAGTTTCCCTCCGTTGACAACTTTTCTAAAGCTTCCACAACTTCAGGAAAATTTTCTGAAAATCTCCTGATAGCCTTATATTTTTCCGAATATCTTGTTTCGATTAATTGCGGTTTAGAACCGAATAACAATCATTCAAAAAAATCCAATATGCAAAAATGCTACCCTGTGAATCTGTTTTATATGATGCATCACTGCGTAACTTCATGTTGCGTGTTCTTAAGTAAACCTAAATAATTCTCACATTGATATCATATTACCACCAGATGGCGTTGCTTTCCAAATGACTCAGTTTTAACTAATCCGCCTAAAAATATGTGTTGTTAACCAAAAAGCAATGGAAAAGGAAATAGGTTTTAGGCGGAAAACAACGAAAAGGGAAGTACTTTTTCGTTGAGTTTTTCCATCCGGTTCATCACAGAATCGTAAGAGAAACTCAAGTGGGTGTTTCATTCATTTCCGCGCCAATTCAATGCTTAACGTGTTGTGCTTACTTCATAGTATCAACGATGAAAAACTGAAGCCTTATGTGGAAATTAAGCATAATTACGAATTAGATTACGCATACAATTTTGTGTTTTTTATTTATTGATTTTTAAAAATTTCTCTTTCGTTCTGTAGCTGTAGGGGGGAAGGAAAGCTGCATTGAATCTGAAAAAAGTTTCAATAAATTTGAATAAAGTTTCATTAAATCCGAAAAAGGTTTCAATTAATTTGAAAAAGGTTTCGCTTACCCTGAAAAAGGTTTCATTTAATTTGAAAAAAGTTTCATTTTATCTGTAAATGCTATATATTGCTTAAAACACAATGCCGACGAACGGCGAACTCAGGCCAGTGAAATTTGAGCCGTCAAAATTATAAAACCCACAAATATATAAAATTGAACACAGCCAAGTTCCCATGGGCTTTCTTTGTTTAATCTACATTTATATTGTTTTTTGATATTACTTTCTCATTTTGAAATATGGTTTCGCTTTTTCTAAAAATGTTATCAGCTACACTCTAAAAAGTGCATGTAAAACTACTACTGAAAAGTGTTTATTTTTCAACCAGAATCTATTCAAGTATACGCACAAGATGTTCAAGATTTGATTTTGAACATGAGTTGTTTAAAATATACACATGAAATGTTTAAAATTACAAACATTATGAAAGTAAAAATATATTTTTTTACAAATAATAAATACTAAGTGCCAGGGGCGCACGCAGGAATATATTTTTGTGGGGGAAGGATTTATACTTCTGTATATATATCATCAGAAAATGCTGAAAATTCGCTCTTTAAAATATATTTATGCAAGTTTTATGTACAGGATGAAATAAAAAAATAAACTTTTTAAAGTTTCATAAATGGCATTTTATTTACATAAAATTTACAAAGAACTCAGACATTTTCAATCGGCTTCAAAAAAGGGGAGGTTATCAATTCTTTGGAGTATTTTTACTTCTATTATTTATTCCACCGCATAACTTTGCGCCGCGTGAACCGATTCCAATAATGATTTTTTTTTACCGGAAAGATGGTACCTTAAGGGTCGTCTCGTAATTTGGTTTAGATCCGATCATTAAATTATGAAAAATTAACGGTTAAAGATGCACTCAACTTTCAAAAGTAATACAAAATTTTACAAAAGAATTTTAATATAAATAAATTAAATAATTTCACGAAATTTTTACATTTTTTTATTAAATTTTGTCGATTTCTGGTTTCTCATTTCTTAATACTTCGAATAATGAAAATTTAGCTGAACTTGTATTTTTATCATGTTAAAGTGTGTTTGCATTGTTCAACTTTGCACCCAACATTTGCGTTCAACTCAGCGCAGGGTTGCACGAAAAAAAGTTGAATGGCTAAAAATATCAAAATATGAAAAAACATCAAAATATTCGCCATAAAAAGGTGTTTGCATTGTTCATCTTTGCATACAGCTTTTGGTTGAATGGCCTTTCAACTAATTGCTTTCAACAAAGTTGGTCGCCAGCCAACATTTAGCCATTCAACTTTTTTTTAGTGCAACCCTGCGTTGCGTTGAACGCAAATGTTGAACGCAAAGTTGAACAATGCAAACACTGCTTTAGCAAATTAAATCTTCGAATGCTTGTTAAGTACATACATATCAGTGGTAAACTTTTTTAGGCTGTAAAGTGTAAAAAGCAACAGTTAGTGAGCATACATTGCATATTTTTAGGACAATGTTTTCATTCGCAGTTAAACTCTAAATAGCTCTCAAGAAAAAAGAAAAATTCTTACAAAGTGACGCACAAGAAATGGAAAAGAAATTTTTTTCTATCACAATTTAACCCCAAAACCCACCCCTTGTGTGCGCTATGTGACAAAGTTGATATGTAAAAGTAAACAGACAGTGTTTAATTTTGCACACACTAGGAGAGGAAACTGGTTACCTCTCTTTATATGCGTAAATTTTAACGAAAATTTTTTATAGGAAGTTTTAAACATTTTATGTGTAAACTATGAAAATGTGAACAATAAATGTTTAAAACTCAAAAAACAAATTTGAAATTTGTTCTACGCCCCACATATGATAAGTAAAAGTAAGCAAGCAGTGTGTAAATTTGCATTCATTAAGAGAGGAAACTGGTTACCTATTTAAAATGCGCAAATTTAAACAAAAATTTTTTAGAGTATAATTTCGCTACCGCTGTAATTCTGTTTAAACAGGCGAAATAGCCGGGCGAACGGGGAACGACAGGATCGCCCATTTCGGCGAATTATTTTGTTTCAAGCATAGATATGGCAATGAAACATCCGATGAGGCGACTCCTGCAGTATTCGAAAGACAGATTTACGAGCCTTTACGCGTTGGCCACGACGAATACAACAGACGCTGGAATGATGAGCCAAATAAAAAGAAGTATAATAAATTTTTTTTTTTTTTATAAGTTTAATTTCAACCGGTGAGGAAACAAAACAATTAATCAATTATTAAGAAGATATCAATTGTACTGCGCCTGTATGTCATCCACCTGCCGCTTCACAATGCGATAGTTAACTTCGCTAGCACTCATAGTGCCTGCCATAAATTTCTAGGTAAAAATAAGAAATATAAGTATACCTTCATAAATACTTAGAAAAAAAAATAAATAAATAAAAAAAAGACGTATGTATACCTGAAAACGATTCGAGTTCATCCACAATTCTTCCTCGCCTGTGCCGTTGAACACCTTTATGCCACTGACAAACTCTAATAGACTCTCTTCTACCGACACTGCAATTTCACTCACTGCATCATTTTTCAGAGGCAACAGGCTCAACGCGATCGGATTAAATGAAACACAGTATAAATTCGATTGACTGTCTATCGCTTCGGCTCCACATCCACTACTGCGGTTGGCTATCAGTTGGAATTCATCTGGAATTGAGTCCGCGTCGGCATCCCAAATTGTACGATTGTTCAAGGCGCTCAAAGAAATCGCATATTCGCTGCCGCTGGCCAAGGGATGGAAGTAGAGTTGGCTGTCATCCGCAGACAAAGCAAACATGCCATCCATCAGCTGGAAGCTTTCGTTGGCAATCGTATGTATTCCATGTTCGGGATGTGGGTACATGAATCTATTCTCGGCACGCCAGGCGCTATCCGACGCCGAGTCATAGACAACCAGACCGTGGTACCTGACATCAGCCTTGAATGAATCACATATTAGTGTTAAGAGAACAGGATGAGCATGCGAAGTTATGGCACAGTTATGCATACTTGGCATTGCTTGGTAAGACGTGAGAGTTGCGACTTAAGGAATCTACCCAAGAAATCGACTAATATATTGCAAAACCCAAGTTTGCCTATGCAATGCCAAGCTATGTATGCATAACTGATCCTTTAGTAAAATAACAAGTAAGAAAGTCTAAGTTCGGGCGGAGCCGAACATTAAATACCCGGCGCAAGTATTAAATATATGTTTTCCACCTTTCCGAAAGCTACCGCTACATGATAAGCCGGCGTGTATAAATTTTAAGTAAACTAGCGTCCTTAAATTTCAAAATATTGAAATTTCAAGCATTTCTGAAATTTACCGTTATATGAAAAGCGGCCGTAATTTTAGTCCGATTTCAACAATTTTCAATGGTTTACTTTTAGGTGGCAAGCACAATAACCATACCGAGTTTGGTACAAATTGCTAGAACGGTTAGCGAGATACATATACGTGATCATAAGTGGGCGGTGCCACGCCCATTTTCCAAAATTTTATCATAAACGTATTTCCTGGCAAAGAATTGTTGCAACCATCATTTTGAATAAATTAGCTTTAATATTTACTGATTTATCGAGGATTTCGTATTTCTCGAAATTGCCGTTATAAGGGATGTGGGCGTGGTTATTGTCCGATTTTAAAAATTGGTATGCTGTACCAGGACCAACAACTGTGCCAAGTTTGGAATAAATTGATGCAGCGGTTACCAAGATATACACATGTAACCATAAGTCGGCGTGGCTACGCCCATTTTCAAAAAAATGTTAATATTCTTATTTTTCGTCTAAAATTTATTATAAATATCAATTTTGAGTGAATTATCTTCAGTAGTTACTAAAATATCGCAATTTTTGTATTTATGAAAATTACCGTTATATGGGAGGTAGGCGTGGTTATTGTCCGATTTTGCCCATTTTCAATACCATCCGTCCTACGCCCGAAAGAAGTACACGTACCAAGTTTCGTTAAGATATCTTAATTTTTACTCGAGTTATCGTGTGCACAGACGGACGGACGGACAGACAGTCACCGCTTAATCGATTTCTCTTTTCATTCTGATCATTTATGTATACATTTGTCTATATCTATCTCGATTCGTTTTGCCTGTTACAAACAACCGTTATGTGAACAAAGTTATAATACCCTTGTGCACAAGTGCGCTCGGGTATAAAAACATATAAATCAAAGCTTCAAACTGTATATAAAATTTAGGAAAATTTAACGAATTTTCATGAAACTTACTTTACTCACTTACGATACCAACACATATTTCGAATATAATCGGATAATAGATACAATTTTTAGTAATACCTCGACCCCAGCGCCACCTGACGGGTCAAACTGTGAATGTTAACTATGCAGAGACCCACTCAAATACACACAAAACATTTCGTTAAAACCGCCCTCCAGCGAGTTCGGAGACAATTGTCGCTTTCGTACTAGTTACATTAGTAGTTCCAATAGCATGTTATGCTCCAGGTAGTAATAAACCGAGCTATTGGTTACATATTGCATTTTCTAAAAGCCGTTTTAATATAATAAGTAGTGCTCCCTTATTACATAAAGGATTTTGTTATTTATCATTTAAATACAAATAATAAATTTTGAATACTTATCCATGTTCTGTTTCCCTCGTGTGACCACCACGCAAATACCGGACTGAAAAGTACCAAAATAAAGCAGTACATATGTAGATACCCCTTTTTACATAACTACTATATCTTAAATTGTTTTGGGGGCAATTCACGTCAAATGTCCCAGCGCCCTGAGCGGTGCAAAACAAGCTACAGTATATTTTGCTTAGCTGCCCATCCTTCTTTGCACGAAAAATTTGTGCGCTTAACCGAAAAAAGCACTTAAGCGAATTTTCTTTGCTACTTCAATGAGGAAGGTATCCCAATCCCTATGAAACCAAATAATGGAGGAGCATCTACCACGTAGAAATTACTGAAAGCGAAATTTTTTGCAAATGATATCTAATTATCTATATACCTTAGGGCGGGTCAATTTGTATGGATCGATTTTTGTCGACATTGTTCCTAGCATATTCGGATTATTCATAAAATTCTAAGAAAAAAATTCCTCCAGACCATAGCTCTAAAGTCAATTTCGAGCCTGCGCATTTTTAAAAGAAGATATCTTATAAATAACAAGTAAGAAAGTCTAAGTTCGGGCGGAGCCGAACATTAAATACCCGGCGCAAGTATTAAATATATGTTTTCCACCATTCCGAAAGCTACCGTACACGATAAGCCGGGGTGTATAAATTTTAAGTAAATTAGCGTCCTTAAATTTCGAAATATTGCAGTTTCAAGCATTTCTGAAATATACCGTTATATGAAAAGCGGTCGTAATTTTAGTCCGATTTCAATAATTTTCAACGCTTTGCTTTTATGTGGCAAGCACAATAACCATACCGAGTTTGGTTCAAATTGCTAGAACGGTTAGCGAGATACATATATGTGATCATAAGTGGGCGGTGCCACGCCCATTTTCCAAAATTGTATCATAAGCGTATTTCTTGGTAAAAAATTGTTGCAACCATCAATTTTGAATAAATTAGCTTTAATATTTACTGATTTATCGAGGATTTCGTATTTTTCTAAATTACCGTTATATGGGATGTGGGCGTGGTTATTGTCCGATTTTAAAAATTTTCGGCCATTTGGTATGTTGTAGCAGGACCAACAACTGTGCCAAGTTTGGAAGAAATTGGTGCAGCGGTTACCAAGATATACACATGTAACCATAAGTAGGCGTGGCTACGCCCATTTGCTAAAATATTTTAATATTCTTATTTTTCGTCTAAAACTCATTGTAAATATCAATTTTGAGTGAATTATCTTCAGTAGTTAATAAAATATCGCACTTTTCGTATTTCTGAAAATTACCGTTATATGGGAGGTAGGCGTGGTTATTGTCCGATTTCGCCCATTTTCAATACCATCCGTCCTATGCCCAAAAGAAGTCCACGTACCAAGTTTCGTTACGATATCTCAATTTTTACTCGAGTTATCGTGTGCACAGACGGACAGACGGACGGACGGACGGACGGACGGACGGACGGACGGACGGACAGACAGTCACCGCTTAATCGATTTCTCTTTTCATTCTGATCATTTATGTATACATTTGTCTATATCTATCTCGATTCGTTTTGCCTGTTACAAACAACCGTTATGTGAACAAAGTTATAATACCCTTGTGCACAAGTGCGCTCGGGTATAAAAAGATAAAAATCATTTTACTGTACGACTACTTGAGCAAAAAGTGCGGTTTGCAATTCTTGCATATGTAATATGTAGTATGTATGTGTATACTTACAAAGTAAACATGATAGCTTTGGCAGCTGCCTGTTGGCGGGGGATCGTCCACAACAACGAGTGGAGTGATGAATAGTGAAGCCGATGGTGTGTACAAGCTCTCATCAAACTTGTAACGATGCAATAAGGTATCATTGTTTAGATCGAAGATCAGTAGCTGCGGCGGACAGTATTGGGTAGTTCCGACTTCGCCTGAATCGATAACAAACATCTGATTGCACTCGGTGATCTAAGCGGAGAAGAAAAGAAAAAAAGTGCCAAGTCATTTAAGCATCTGGCACGATACGAGTATGCACTTTAACCTACCGCCACACGCCATGCGGAAGTGATTCTGTTACAATCACCGCCATTTGCATTATGCCAGCTATAGCTTGGATATGGTTCCACAACCGGGCCATCATCTTCAGTAGTATTACTCACTGTGGCCAGTGTGTACGGGACGCCGGGTTCAAATCGGGGAATTGTTATGAAGACGCGCGAAGAAGTTGGTGCCACATCAATTGGTACTCCAGTTCCTTCCACTAAAGTGCCATTGGCCAGTGCGTCCTGTCGGTCTTGTTCGGTCGGGAAACCGTAAACGAGCTGTTTCCACTCATATACTACCTCTAGACTGCGCTCCTCTACACCGATTATGGCCTGGGGCGTTAGCGCCAAAATTAGAAGAATTAAACCTTTGGTCCACATCACGTAATCTGCTTGGAAATCGAGAGTAATATAAAACCACTGCTAAGATGATTAACGCTAGCAAAAGACGGTGCCAGGTCGTTATATAGAAGCCTTTCTGCCGGAATTCTCAATAAAATCTAACTTTTTCGGTCATACTTAATTTAAAAATAATAAATAACGAAGTTACTTTTATGCAAGGGACCGTTCAAACACGATCTCAAAAAAGACGTGATTCCACGATGTGTAAACATCTGTGTCTCTGTGAATGGACTCGAAAAAGTCATAACGTAGTCTCGAAATGATCCCGAACTAGTCCCGAACTGGGCGTCAGAAGCTCATTTAAGGATCGCGAAACTGGAAAAACCCTCTCTACTCAACTTCGACGAGAATGTAAAAGATCCAATCTAAAAAAATGGATTGCAGATCTGGACTCATCCGTCTTAATATGTTGTAGAAATATGAATGCCTTTTAAAAAATTCCTGTAAAAACTTTTCTGTAGAGTATAAATACATATGTATGTATGTCACGAAAATCAATTTTAAGATACTTAGGTGTAATTAGTTGTTTTTTTTTTGCTAACATATAAACGCCTCAGTAATTCTGAATTAAGTGCCATATTATGTTTTAATACTTGGCAGAAGAACACACCAACCAGGGATGACAAAGTACAATCATCTTTTGATGAAATGAAGTTTTAAGTTTATTTTTTCTTTCTCCTATACTGTGCTAATATATTTACTTTTCGGCATGGGAGAAGTTTCGCTTTCATTTTGAAGAATAATCAATTCTAAATAAAAGTGGCCAAAAGAAAGAAATTAACAAAATGTTATTATGTATTCTCTGGAACATTTCACATTGCATTTAGAACAGCCACTACGAAAAATTAACACCTCTCTTCGCTATTCTAAAATTCGTAATTCTTGTTATATTTTTTTTTTTCGAAATTTGAACTAAGTTTTTCCATACAACGCCATTGCGCCCTAGACCGACGTCCTCCCCTATCGAATGACGGTGTGAAATCTACAAACACTCGACCTTTGCAATTGTTGGGAGTGCATTTTATAATCTATTGGAACCATAAAAGCTAAAGTTCCCCACATATGATAACATTTATATTAATTTTATTGGCCCATACAGTCCTGCGTCTAGGAATTTTTCAAATCTCATACTTTATGTACATAGCTAAGGCAATAGCTATTAGACATATATTCCTATTTGATTTCTGAGAATATATATTTATATATATAGTATACAATATAGTTTAAAAAAGTAATTTCTCAGTTTTCCCAAGTAGGCGATTTTAAGCGTTTTTTTTTTTCAAATGGAGATGGTGGCCTTTCTGGGGGTTTTTGGGTACGAGGAATTTGCATCTACAAATAATTTATAACATAAATTTTAAACACAAACGAGCTCTGGGTGCGCTTTGTGGCAAAAAAATAAATAAGAAGAAACTGTGTTTAGAAACATCATCCATCATAGCGCACCGTTAGCGGCCGTTTTTAGCGAAAATAAATTGCAAATTCAGATTCCTCGGAACCCCTTATGAGGCCATTGTTTTAAATGTTGATCTGCGACCACCAACTTCAGTTTAAAAAAGTAAGTGCGCCTGGGCCACACTGGAGAAGAGAAACTTATGTTATATATCTATGTATTTTGTCACATATATGTACATACTTCACAGGTACATACATATGCATTTCAGTGGTTCAAAATTGTGAATAAAACGACAGGCTCCCAAATTTGGTCCGGATCGGTGAATTAGTTTTTGAGATATACATATGCGATTGTATATATGTATCAATTTTGAATAAATATTGATGAGTTATTTAGCCATACTACTACGATACGATTGCAATAAACGAGGTATCAGTTTTTTGAAAATAAACTTAATTTTATATAGTACTATGAAATTGAGAAATTAGCGATGGTCAAAAATTTAAAAAAGTTTATTTTTTTTATTTGCCCAATGAAAACTCCCAACAATCCAAGTCTGACTTTAGGTTATTATACATCATTTAAAGGCCTATAAATCCTCTTATCACAACATGTTCGATATTTAAAAACCCGAATGAAAAGATGATGATTTTTTTAATCAATAAAAAGCCAGTAATATTTCTCATAAAAACGGATGAAATTAGGTGGTAGCGTCTAGAAAAAAAAATCGGTGGGCACCTTAATATGCATACATTTAAGAAGCACTTGTTTCCATCGCAACTATCACCGTGTGTTATTTCCGTTGAACTTGCCAGTTTACTTCCAACCAACCTACCGCCGCTAAAGAAGTTTCACTTCGACAAAATCTAGACTGTCATAAAAATTTTGGTTTTATCCATGATAAAAATATAGTAAAGTAGAACCGCGGAGAGTCACTTTTAAAATTCTTGACGTTTCCAAACAATTTAATTTTTAAATTTACTCACAAACTCACACACACATTTTCATTTTCAATCTCAAGCAACAACAATTTCGAACAATTTCTATTTTTTATTTTCACTTTTATATGATTTTAAAATGTGGGCAAACTTCAAAAAAAAATCATGGCCGACAAATTGAGAGAACGGTTTACCTTGCTATGTTTTTATCATGGTTTTATCTTCTATTGAGATTAAGGTTTCGTGAGTTCAGAACTCGAAAGGAGAAAATAATCAAATATTCAAAGCTCAAATTTTTCATATACTGAAAATATGTACATAGTTCATAGTTTTTCACATTTTACTTGTAAAATAAAAATTTATAAAATAATTTTATTTTTTAATTATTTTTCGGGTTTTGTCTTTTTTAGTGCCTTCTTTTGCCTTTTTTTGCGGTTTCTAGTGTCTATTCCTGCCTATTTCGTTATTTTATTTATTTTTTATTCTAAGGTCCTAAAAATCCATTCTCTGGTTATAATTAAACCTAAACAAGGACTATGACTGAAGGTTAAATCGGACCAAAAAATAATAATTTGGCTAAACTTATTTTCAAAAGTATCTTATTTGGGGTCATTTATTTTATACTAAATTTTATTTTTTCTTAGGTGATCCCAAGTGAAATCTCCTCTTACATATTTGTAGGATATTTTAACCCCCAATTTTAGAGCTTACATTTAACGTTTTCAAAATAATAGCCAAAAAGTTGTTAAACTTTTTCACACTATAACTAAGAACACTTTATACCTTAATGTGTAACTCGATACTTTCACAGCAAGAAGCTAAACTTGTTTGTGTTCATCTTCAGAGCCCGGCTTCTTTTATACCGTTTCGCTGGGCTTGTTCTTAAGCGTGATTGCAACGGAATCGAAGTAGGCAGTTTAAAGCGGTATCATTTTATTTGCATATACATATGTATGTATATTAGGGCTGGTCGAAAATCTAATTTTTCTCAAATCCCTTGGTAATAGTGAAAATATATTGTATCATGAAGTCAACAACAAGCCTGAAAAATATTAGTCTTTTATTTTAATTGTAAGAGCCCGCGCATCGACCACCAAGTGTCCACAGCACACTAGTCGAATAAGACAAATTCTTTTAAAAATTCTGGGTTCAGCAAAAAGGTTTGGTGCATATTATTAGATATTGAATTCGTTAACGCTAAAGATAAAGTAAATTATCATTCCTCGCAGCGCTTTAGCTTATCGTTAATTTTAAAGTTATCTTGTTTTAATAAAATTTTAATTGTTCTCTTGATAATTGCACTGGCCTATAGTCAAGAGATGTAAAGAACAGCATTAGCATTACTGGCATGCATTTAGGTCGCTGGTTCCAAATATTGTAATCTTTTTTCAATATTTGCTATAGTTTGCGAATTTTTGCAAATTTAGGAACAATTTCGGTAGCTCTAATAGAAAAGCCATTATTTTGCATCATTGTGGAAAAATTTTCTTCTAGAAACACTAATTAGTTTACTTATGTTTATGCATACAATATAAAAATTGCAAATATAAGAAAATGACAAAAAATGTTGTTAAAATTATTTATTTATTTTTTTTTTTAAATAATTTGTTTATAATCTGAATGATTTTCGTCATATTATTATTATAAATCACTAACAGTAAGTCTCGCCTTCAATTTGGTAATTTTTACTTATCGATCGAGTAACATCTACCAAAGTTATATCGAAAAACTTAATTGGATCTCCAGTTTTTTTCTAAAAAAAATTTCTCTTCAATTGCATAAATAACTTTTAAATGAAAGAACCGGATTACAGAAAAGTGTGCCAGGGAGTGATTTTTTTCGTTCAAGCTAAATGTAAAGCAATATCGTCCAATTGGAGAGTCCTCGAAAGGATTTCCCAGGATATGTTAAAGACTATTACATTTACCTACAGT